TATAATGTCCAGCTTCCCGCAGCTAAACTTGTACAAAACTTGAGTTTGACAGAACGTATTTCCACCAGACAATTCCCCAAATTAAAATGAAACTTACTAGTTCGGGAGAAAAGATATACCAAACGTTTGCTTGAATGAAAACATCTGCTTTTCCCTTCTGTGCCTGTTTATGTCTATGAACATGCCAACTGGGAAACCCACTTGCACAATTCAAAAACCAGAATTCTCAGCCTGTATCATCAGTGAGTCATACCTTAATTTAACTAAATTGACTCTTCTCCCTTCTGTTCCAGAAATATGATTCCAAGTGTTGCCCAACTGACTGTCTGCAGCTAACCAGGTACATGTGTTTTAGTATCACTTTCAAAGGCTTTCTTGTTTGCCTGCTTTTTGAAGAGTCTGTACACGTCCACCCCATTTGGTGTCAGGCTGCTGCTGGGCTCATGTGGCTCCAGGAACAGCCCAGCAGTCCTCTGAAGGCAAGACACTGGAACAGCCTGACATCAGGGGAGGGCTGCCTCTCACAGAAGAGAGATCATAAACCAAAGCAAGTTTGGCTTCATTAGAATCCTGGGTAAACCAGAGGTAGAATGCAATTTATTTTGTTTTAATGTGCCCTTTTTATGGCTGACAGTGGTTAGATTTTCTCTCTGTGAGTAAAGGAAACCTATGAATAACCTCATTATGCCAATACCACTTTTCACCTTCTCCCTTGATCTTCAATGTAATGTCTTTGCTTTCATCTATTTTTACAGAGACAAAAAGAAATATCATGCCACTGTCATTTTCTGTGTGTTAAAATTTTCCATTTCTCTTAATGAAACTAGAATAAGGTGAGGGGAGTGTTTCTTTTCCTGACTCTTCTTACATTAAAGAGCCTTAGGGTTGTGTTCATTTCTACCCGGCTATGCTGTTTGTTAAACTTGCATAAGCAATATCTGTGCTATTGCTGGAAACATAGCTGAGAGAAGCTCACCAATGCAAGCTCCCTAGGGCCCATCCCCACACCTTCTCCCTAGGACAGAAGGACATCACACAGCTGCCCCAGGCACCTGCTGTTCATCTTTCTCCTGAAGTAGTAAAGAGGCAGAATGTTATTTACCAAATATTTCAATATTAACTCAACCTTACTTAAAAAAATATTTTCCACTACGAAAGCAATTACTGAACAAACCTTTTAGCAGTTTCCAGGGACTGCTGTTCTGCCAGTTCCTTCTGCAGTTCCCTTTCCTTGGCCTCCTTCTGCCCAATAGGGCAGTCCTCAGGCACAGTGAAGAGTGACAGTGCATCTTTGCTGTCTTCTTCCCGGAGAACTTTAGCAAAGACCTTCTCTGCCAGAAGTCGCACGTGCTCGTCAACCTCTGAGATGTTCAGCTTCGGAAACTGCCGGGGCATCTCGTCTGGGAAGGGAGACAAGTGACAAAGTTAGAGCTCCAGGAATGCAGATATGAGGGAGACTGGGCTTTTTTTTAGAGCTCAGGGCAAAAGCAGAATAAAGGAGAATGCATAATTTAAACTAGTATGCAGTACACAAGAGCCACGGGTATCCGCTCCATTTTTGGAGCCATGCTAGTTTTTGCATCAGGAACTCCTCAGTACGTCCACAAAAATTCCCAAGAAACAGATGCAGAGCTGTGCCAATGGATTCCCCTTACTTACTATTATTTGTGATATAACACACACTCAGCTGTATGTACTTGCACTGAACGTGGAAATGACATTCACTCAGTTGCCTGACTTCTTCCTTGCTCAGCAACTGCAAACCAATGGGCAAGTTAGAGAAGAAGGCTGCTCATTTCTACCTCACCCCATCCCTTCCACATATCAGTAAGTCCCAGAGCTGCTGTGAAGTAAAACAGTTGCAGAACAGGAGCAAATATGCTATAGTTAACTCGGTGACTTTTTTTTCCATTTGTTTTTAGCAGTTCATATCTTGCTTTTGAATGCATGTGGGAAGCAGAGAGGATATGGACTTTCATTTCTACTTGGCATTTAAATACTATTTTTCAAAAAGAAAATGTTTTATATTTTAAATTTTTAAAGTAGCCTTTCATCACAAAACATTTACATTTTTTTCTAGCATCACTACTAAAACACCACCTTTAGAGTTTCTTCTGTAGCTTCCTGGCTTTATTTTTATTTCGTTTTCATACAACGAAGAATGTGAATTTTACCATAACTTGTAGCATTCCAGAGGGAAAAAAATACAGTGCTGGTAAGCTACTGAATGGCATTATTTATTATATACTGTAATGCTTTCTGAGTGCCTTCAGTATGATGGAGTTTGTAACAAATAAGATTAAATTCTTATTACATAAGTTAAAATAGCAATGAACATGTCACAACAAATGGATCCAAGCACTGCCAGAATGTGAGGTCTGGGTCCAAAATTGGAACTTCAGAATCCTTTTTGGTTACAGAAAGGGAAACATATTTTGTAAGATGGTATTCATTAAATAACGACAAGTGCTGGAAGTCAGCACAGAGCATGGCAGTTTTTTATCACTCCGGGCACAACTTATCAGGGCCCCCATTACAATTTTTCTGAGGCATGCTGCAGGTTCCACATGCAGACATGTGATCCTTTCAATATGCGAGCCCGTTTTCAGCCTAAAAGACACCTGTTTTCATAGTTGTTTTCAGAGCAGTGTTGCTTTTAATCTAAAAGCAAATATAGTATTAAAAGAGCGGTGACACTTATACTGGACCATAACGTGGCAATTTAGTGATCACCTACTTTACTTTTCATTCTTATTCTGTAAGAGCCAACTCACAGCCCAGTGGAAGCATTGCTGGTCTTAAAAAACTGTGTATCTGACTCTATGCTGGTTTTCTGCCTGTACTTGTTTTTTAATCAGCATTAAGTCTTCATAAAATCCAGTATAATTACAGAAGAAATTTAAAAATGAATTCACATGTAGCTGAATGATGACAATGCACTACAGTGCCTCAAGCATCCAAGCTTAGATTCACTTTATCCATTTCAGCCCTCAATGGAGTCATAGCAGTCTTTCCACTGACCCCAATGAACACGGCTGTCAGCAACAGTACCTGCCTCACATGCTGCTGCCAGCAGGAAAGGCCTTTTGGGCCACTTCAGCCAGGCAAAAACTGTCTTTGTGGCTACTGAACTACAGTAAGAGCTCTAGGAATACTAGTACAAAGTGAAGTAATAATTTTTCTTCTGCTGCTATATCAGCAATTAAAATACTAGCGGAACAAAAAAAAAAATCAATGGGCTGTATGTTTATCATCGGCTGAACATTTTAACATTTTTCAAGTCTAAATGAACTTTTTCCTAGGGAATTGTCATCAGAACCAGAAATGCAGTAGGAAACATACTGCATGAGAAATCCTACTCTATTTTAAATCCTTACAATAACGCACTGAGAAGGCAGAAAGTATAGACATAAGTACAAACTTATGCTGATCAAAGTTTTTTTTCCTTACAGAACCCCTTCTCACTCCATTCTCCACTCAAGCACGACAGAAAGAGGCATAAAACAGTTTGAAATGTAGGTTCAGCCACATCACTACTAGGTCATGTCACTGAAATGAATCTAATAAACCTAAAATAGTCATAAGGCACTTCATGCGATACTCGTGCAAGCCGTGCCATCCCGAACTGGAAAAGCAAAGAAGCTCTTGTATCCACGTATCCTTCTATAGAAGTGCTGCCCTTTGCCCAAGGTGAGCGACAACTACACATCTTAATGGGATGGGGAAGGGTAGGAATGCTCTTTTGCTAAATATCTCGGTCTCACAGAAAAGCTGCTTCGGGTGCTCTTTAGCTCTGCACCTTTGCAGAAGAAGAGAAACCTACTTCCCCTGAAGCAAGCTGCATTAAAAAAGAAACCGATGGAATGATTACTTAAGAAGCAGTTATCGATCAGGAGTGTAATGGGCTTGCATACATAAGGAGCACACGCCACGAAAGCCGCCGCCGCCCCCAATCCCCCGCGGGCAGCGCCGGGCGCCGCATCCCCGGGCAGGTGGGGCCGGGCCCGCGGGCGCCGCCGCCGCAGGAGCCCCGCGCGGGTCCGTCCCCCCGGAGCGGCGGCCAAGGTCACCAACACCGCCCCCGCCGCGGGCACTTACCGAGCGGCCCGGGCACAGCCATGTCGGGGCCGCGCCGGGCCCCGCACCAGCGCTCCCGCCGCCCGGAGAGACGCCGTCGGGAGCCGCCGGCGGAGGAGGAGGCGGTGGCGGAGGGAGGAGCCGCTCCCGCCAGATGCCGCCGCTCCTGCTGCCGCATCCACCCGCCGGCCGCCCCGGTACCGCAGTGCCGCGCCGGCCCTGCCCCGGCCCTTTATGGCCCGCGGGCGGAGGGGCCCCCTCGCCGCCCCTGCCTCCGCCGCAGGTGGGGCCGGGCAGGGGTGCAGCCCCCGCCGGGCGAGGCTCCGGCCCCAGGGCCGCCCCCCGCGCCCTGTCCGCGGCCCCGGGGGGGCTGCGCTGTCCGGCCCGGCCCCGCCCCGGCGCGGGGGGCGAGCGGCGGGCGGGGCGCCCCGTCCCTACCTCGGTGCGGGGTCCCTCGGAGGACGCGGCGCTTCGGGCTCCGGCTGCACCTGTGGCGGGGAAGGGACGGCGCCTTCCCCGAGGGGCTGCGGCCTCGGCGGGAGCCGGAGAAGCGGAGGGAAGCCTGTCTGTGCCCTTCCCCGGCCCCTTCCCCTTCGGCGGCTTCAAGGCAGAAGTGGCTCTGTCACATGTCCCCCGGCCGGCGCGGCAGGGAAGGAGGGGAGGGGAAGGAGGGAGGGAGGGAGCTGCCGCCCGGCCCATCTCAGCCCGCCCGGCTCGCCTCAGCGCTGCCGCCTTCACGGGCGCCTCTTTCAAAACTCCTCGAAAGGTGCTTTAACGCAGAAAAACTTTGGTTCGAGAGCAGAAATTCGCGAGGCTGGTGCGGGGAAGACAGCCGAGGGGTGTGCTGGCGATGTGTCCCAATAAGAAGTGTTTTCAACAGTGTCCGCCCTTCAGCGGAGCAACGCGCCTCAGGCACTCGTCTATATTTAAAAAATAAACAAAACCCGAAAAAACCCACGCCAAACCCGAAAGACTTACCAGGTAAATAGCCCAAGGCAAATAACTGAAGCTCAAACAAGCGTGACTCAGCAGGTATGAGGATATTAATATCTGAAATATTTTGACCTTATTTTGACAGGTTCTGGGCCTCGAAGCTTTAGGGGCATGATTGGTAATTTTGGGTTACAATACTCGTAGTCCAGTCTGAAGACATTTAATTTTAATGGTATCTTCATGATGCAGGGAGGCACTGGGAATGCAGTGAGTGAAGAACAAGGCACTTTGTGTAAAAAGACAAGCAGAGTAAAGGTAGATCTCCCAAAATGTGAGGGGTCAGGCTGTGGTAGTTCTGTGTCCCCCCCAGCTTGGTGAGCATAGAAATGCTCCATTCATAAACCTCAGGGAATTTTGGCTTCAGAAACTCCTTTACTTCACACAGCTGGTGGAAAAAACCGGAAATGAAAACAAAGGAGGTGACCGTACCAAATCTGAGTTGCAAAGAAGACCGGATATTTTGACTCTTTACACTGGTATCAGCAGAATCACCATTATATGCTCGTAAAAAAGGCCAAGGATTATGGCCCCAGCTGTTGTATGACACATGCACCAATCCAAAGCATTCGAAAATGAGTCAGCCATAATAATAAAAAAAATTTTAAAGTGGTATTAGTACTACAAAAATAGTCATTGTTTAGCATCTTAGCTTGGGAAGAAAGACTTATGCTGTGTGTGTACGTGTTTTTCTCACAGTCACTCTGAATGTCTTCATCAGCTGCTGCCAGCTACACCCAGACAAGGCAAACAGCGCCCGGAAAAGTGCATTCTGTAAGTGTCTGTGTGTGACTCACAGCTGCCCTGCCCTCCTTATATGTGAGTAAAGAACACCTGTTGCTGCTCTAGCCATTCAGTGCACGCCTCGATTGCTGAGCTGCTAATGCTGCACCCTCTCTCCCAACCACCTGCCTGAGCTTGCCCAAACTTGCCTGCCATGGTTTGCCAGACAGTCTGGGCTCCTCGGTGTCCCTCTGATCGTAACTGTGCCCTACCTGCTGGACTCAGGTACCCCACGGCTTCTTGGATTCCTCTTCTCAGCTTGGCAAATGGGGCTTGCCTCCACACTTGATTTAATCTGTCTTCTGCGGGATGCAAGAGTCTGGAATAGTTCCCTCTTGTGCTGACTTCCTGCCAACCGCGGTGAAAAAATAACGGTCTCGGAGATAACTGTGTTTCTGCAGTTTTCTTTCATGAAAAGGGGCAGCTCTGCATGCCCCAAGTGAAGAAAACCTTGCAGTGTGAGTTCACATGTTACAGAAGCCAGAGAATTCACACTGAGACCTCAGAAATGCCTTAATAAAAAACAAACAAACACAAACAAACAAACAAGCCACACTTCTATGGGCACTGAAGTGCAAATCCATAAGGATATAGACACTTTTTCTAGGTAACCATGAGTTTTTAAATGAACTTTTCTTTTGTAACAAATTGGAAACTCTTAAAGGCAAACTGAGGTCATAACTTAGTAAATACATCTGTAGTAATTGAAGCATTAAAAAGATACTATTGCAAGATTTGTAATAAGAGCAGGATGGATTGTAAGAATAGGCTAATGGTAATAAATTAACGAGAAAATACTTCAAGTCCTCATACCTTTTGCAGCAGCAGTTACTATGATCAGTAATTTTACAAGCTGTGTTCAAAACATACATTTGACTGGTGGGTCCAGTTTCCTGTCCCATCTCTGCTCTCACAGAGAACAGTTCACATGTATCTTTGGGGAATGGAAGTAACATTAGGCTGACAGCAATGAAATCGCATATTTTCTACACAGATGTTGTTGCACTCTTCCATTGGCACCTGCAAAACATAAAGCATTAAACTTTGCACCTAGGCTTAGAACACCTCATGATTCCAGTCAACACCTCGTTAAACGTGTGCCCTCTGCCCCATGAAGGAGTCTTTCTGCCAGTCCAGTTTGTGGGTAGGCTGTACTTTTATACACCATACTAAAAGTAGTGCAAGTGTCTCCATAATTCTTTTAAATGTTGTGATTTCCACTGCACAATGTCAGTACTTTCTGAAGCCATCTGGGTGTTAGCTCACTTCTATTGTGTAGAAAGCACTGGTCCTCTCAGGTAAATTTTACTATACAAGAAAAGAGTTATCCACTTCCTTTTACCACAAAGTTACAGCTGATCACATTTATTTATATGATTTTTTTTAAAAAAGTCTGTATTTCTATTATGTCTTCAACTTGTTTTAAGCCTTATTTAGAGGTTACTCTTTTGGTGACAGTATGATTCCAGCACACGTGGGATTGGACTGCTCTTCTGCAGTCAGTCTATTTTAATAAAAGGAAATGCAGTAAAAGTTTTAAATGCCAGCATTTACTGAGGAATGGAATAAAATAATAATTTAAAAAAAGCCCTAAACATACATTATTAGATTATTAACAATTATTTTTAGAAACAGACAAATCTTGTCTGGGAGATGATTAAAGCTGGAAGGAATACTCATCCAAATGATCTCTCATTTTCACTTGAGATTGTTTCATCTGTAATAACATACTGCTTTCATTTGAACAGTGCCTTAAAAGCTAATGGAGTTTCAATTCACTCTGTAAATAGTTTCATATAACTGACTGTGATATTGGTAACTACAAAACAACTAATGGATCAAAGGAAATATTTCAATCTATAACGTAGCCATTAGGGGCACCCAAGCAATATTGGACCTGCTACTTGCTTTTCTGATCTTCAATCAGTTCAGTTAATGATATGCTTGGAGCACATGCGTTTACTTACTGAGGACTTACTGATACTCCAACAGCAGAAAAACCCATGGTTAAATGAAGTTATCTCCAAAAGCCAGAGGGGAGGTTTGTGCCAAATGTGAAACGTAGATGAATGGCATTATCGAATACTCTCCACTATGAGGGAAGAATCATTCAACTTTTTAAACAAAATAATATAGAAAATTGTAATCATTCAAGAAGAGAGAAAATTACTCCATTGAATGATTGAAATTAAACAAAGAAAATCATATCTGTCTGTTTTACAGAGCCAAAAAATCAAAAAGCATCATCTTTCTTATCCACTGCTTTTCATAAAGCTTGCAGAAATTATTTGGGCATATGAGTATTCAGTCCTGTAATTGAATTAGAGCAAGTAAGAGCTCTTGATACAGATGTTTGGGTCTTTCTCAGTGTTGAGTTAAAGAGGAATTCGAAAATCCAGAAGTTTGGTTCATACCCTAAACATAAGCAGCAAATTTTCTATGTTTTGGGGATTGCCACTCCAGAAGGTGTGTGAGAGCAGGACAAGGTGGAGAAACCTTGATTAGGCCAGTTTTTCACACACTCCGTCTTGCACAGTGGTTGTGTTTGGAATATGACCATACAAGGTACATACAAGGTACAGCTATGCTTATAGAAAGGGCAAAGTGTTTTTAAAATCACTTGCACTGACATTAGGATTGAGAGTAGGTTTGGAATCCAGTTTTTTGGGCTTTTTCAGTCCAGAGACATTCTCCCTTCTGAAGGGATACCTGTGAGTATAATTATCCTGTAGTATGTTACTATAAAATAAAATATGTAATGTGCAAATTTAAGTCTGTTTAAAACCAGAAGTGGGAAGAACCGTGGACATTGTAAAAGGATGTGACTGTTCAGCCACTGCTTTAAAAATAAACTGGGAAAGTATCTGTACAGTCCGAACAATCGGCCTCTGAAACAACATAACAGAAGTTTTCCATGAGTTTATAAATGGAATATACTGTAACACTTTGCTGCACAAGAAAACTTTACAAGCGAGATGGGATGTGTTTGGAATTGTAAGCTGCCATTTGGATATTTGGAAAGCTTTCTTTCCAGCCACTTGGCAAATTCTTCGCTGGCATCAACTGCCTTGCCCTGTCACAACAGCCCTATAAAACCCTGGTTTAAAGCCAGCTTGCCTGAAACCTTCTTAGCCTGAACTTTGCAAGTAGTTACCCTTGATGGAAGACTGCCTTGCTCTGACTTTATCATAATTTATCTGGAATTCTGGAACTGTCCAGAGAAGGAGAGATCTGACTGCATTAGCCAAACCTGTATGTGTGGCTGAATGACCTTAAATCTGATTCATAAAACAGAGAATTTTTGGAAAGTTACATTTCATGCCAGTTGTGTGCAATGCCGTAGAAATACTTTTTAACCACCCCTCTGGTATACGATGCTGTTTTACTCAGCTTTGTTTTAAGAGGAATTTTGTTTGCTCGGAATGCACATAAAATATTCAGCAAGCAACGGTCTAATAAATTAGATGCTGCCAGCACGTGATGAATAATGAAACAGTGTAATTAGAGCTCACAGAGGGGAACCCTTTGGTCTATTTTGGAAATCCCTAAAATAAAGAATATTCTGAATTAGGTCATTTCTGCATAAGTCCATACTGGGATCTAACCCGCGTGTTTAGAATTGGTTTTACATGTTATGTTTGCAGTGGAAATGCAAATAGTTCCATTAAAGGCTACTCGTTTCTGCATTTGTGTTACTTTTAGATGGCCACTGAGGTTTTTTGTGAGCATTTGGGCCAAGGGTTCACACTTGAGTTCTTTGGCCCTCCTGTTGTAAGCTTCCTTCCCAAATAAGAGGTATCTGTGTGGTGCAGATGGAGCACATAACTGCCCAGAAACTGGGAAATGCGAGATACTGTTCAGATGTGGTACTGCACGAAGGTCACATATCCTTAAATGAACTCTGGGCTACATGTTGAACTGCAGTCTTCCCTGTCCCCACTGTATCCCCCTTCTCTGTTTTACAACTTTTCCAAGTCTCTCCTTTCACTAGAGTGAGTGAAACTCTGCAGCCTCCAACCCGGCAGTTCATTCATACATGGGGATTCCTGGTGACAATTTATAGTCCCAATAAACTTTCCCTATGTTGCTTGTGTAGCACTAAGCAGGCAGAGCTGGCAAGAAACCCAACACAAAATTTTTGTTTTCTTATGTACAAACCTCGACTTTCCTCTTGGGGGTGGGAATTGCTTTATTATTTTATCCAATCTGTCTGTGTAAAAACCAATCTGGCTGAGTATCCAGGCCTGTGCTTATGTTTATGTTTTCACTGTTCGGGTGGTCAGGCGTTGGATTAGGTTGCCTGGGGAGGTGGAGGAGTCACCACCCCTGAAGATGTTCAGGAGGTGTCTGGATGCAGCACAGGGTGATGTGGTTTGGTGGTGTAGGGCTCACACTGGTAGTGCTGGGCTGATGTTGGGACTGGATGATCTTAGAGATCTCTTCCAACTTTGATGATTCCACGGTCCTGTGGTTTTAGACGCAAAATGACTTACAAAGCCCCTGTCCTCTTTCCTTAAAGCCCATCTAAGCAGTCAGCCATGGGAATCCGCAGCCTGTGACATTTCCCATCTGTATTGTTTCCCAGCCCGTAGGCAGAGGGCGGCACGGTTTGTTGCTGTGGGGCGGTTCTCCGGGATGGCCCCGCCGGGATGCTCCGAGCGCTCCGGTCCCGCTCCGGTCCCGCGTGGCCGCTCGGTGCCCTGCCCGCGGCCGGGGCCGGGGTTATGTAAAGAGCCGCGTTACGCAAGGAATGCAGATTTTCCTTACGTAACAGCCCGTGCCTGCCGGAGCCTCCTCTGTCCGTGCCACCAGCGCCCAGACACGAGAGGGAAAAGCGGTGCTTGCCCTGTTAGATATCGCTCCGTCCGGCTCCGAAGTGACCTGCTTGCTGCTCTGGCTCTTCTCACTCGGGCAGTTTCGTGTAACTCCCGCGTCTTCCTTAGCCTGGGGAATATTCCCTTCGGTGAAAATGAACAGCACACATACCTGAGTCGTATCGGTGCCCTTCCCTGGGGGTCTAAGAAAGACTTCACCGGTTCATAGTTATTGCACGGAGTGAAGTTAATCCAGGACAAAGGGAAATTGCAAAGTCCTGGGTATCTCGAGCTCTATGTTTCAGCTGCTGCCACAATCAGAGGACCTGATTCCAATGTCTGTGTCCAAAGACAGATTTCCAAGTCACTTAAGTGTCTTCAGGGCTATAAAAAAGACCCCCGTAGCTCAGAACTCTGTCTCTAGGAGATATGAGGAGAGATGCCGGAGAGGCGGGGGGTTGCTGTTGCCGTCTGTTTGCCCTCTTGTGTGCGGGCAGAGCATCAGCAGGTGCTGAGCACTTGGGATACTTTCATGGAGTAGTAGATGCTGTCAGGGCTTCTGTGCTCGATGCCTCACTCAGTTCCCTCTGTACTAATTTCTGATCCTGCAACTTTACACATCCTTCCTTCCCGATTTAGTGACTCTGATTAGGTTGGGGTGGGTGTGTGTTTTGTGTGGGGTGTTTCATTTGGTTGCATTTGTGTTGGTCTGGGTTTGGGGTTTTCCCTTTCTTTAGCCGTTTTTCTCCTTGGAAAGGCCTTGAATTCCATAGGCACCTTGAAGGATTGGTGTACAGGAGTGCTCAGCTCAGGGCTTTGCTCTGGTCCTCTTCTTGGACATTTCTGACCACTCATGTTCATATCCCATCCTTTTTTAACTTGTTGCTAATGCCCAGCCCACCCCATCAGGAAAATCCTGGAGGATCAGAAACAACAGTCGATAGATGGTGTCAGACAGAGCAACCCTTTTCCTGTTGTGCCTCACCTGTATTGTTTTATAATCTTTATGAACTGAAGCTGGAATCTGGACTGTCCTGATTGTTACCAGTCAGTGAATGTGTTCCAAAAATGAGCCCAGTTCCATTTTCAACTCTGTCTGTTTTGCTGTCCCAAGTATCCTGTGCTGGTGAGCTTGTTCTCCAGCTTCCCTGTGTGCTGTGAGTAGAGGGGTGGACGTGAGCCAGCTGTGAGCCAGCAGTTGCGTGAGCAGACACAGCACAGCTCTTGGAGCTTTTTCCTTTTGCTGGTGAGGGGCATGGCCAGGGTGAGCTCCTGTGTGCTCCTGCTGCTCACAGAGGTTCCTCTCACTCTCGCTCAGGCAGGTCACAGCAAGGACTGTCCAGCTGTAGGTGCTGGTGCTGGAGGTCACCACACTCAGGCACCTTGTGCTGCCATGGAAAGAAGAAGGATCTGTGGGGAGGCTCTCAGTGTGTGACAAACTCTTTGCTAGATGGTATAGCTGGAAGGAAGTGTTTTGCACAGGGAACAGCTCCAACATGGACTGATCTCTTGGAGACTTGGGTAGCCAAGAGGGACCGGAGCAGGTGAAAGCAGGTATGAAATGAAAGGTGACCTGTTGGGTTAATCAGCTGTTTGAGTGTTATTCCTGTTATCAACCAGTCCAATCCAGTGGGATAAGCAGAGAGCAGGGAAACAGCCAGCCTGCTCAGATCCAGACTGAATCTCCAGAAGTGGGAGAAAAAAAGAGCTTTTAAACTCAGTGCCTGCCTTCCCTCTTATTGCGCTTCTGAGTTTCAACAACCTTTTGTTTACAAAACAGGAATATCAAAGGGATCCAGAACCACAGGAAGTTCAACAAGGGGAAATGCTGGATTCTGCACCTGGGATGGGGCAACCCTTGATGTACAGCCAGACTGGGGAATGAGAGGTTGGAAAGCAGTGCTGCAGAAAGGGACATGGGGGTGCTGGTCTATGGAAGTTGAATGTGAGTTAGCAGTGCCCTGGCAGCCAGGAGGGGCAGCCTGTCCTGGGGGCATCAAGCAAAGCATCGCCTGGGGTCGCCAGGGGTCACTTGGTGTCATCCAGGGGTCATTTGGGGTCATCTAGGGGTCATATGGGGTCCTTTGGGGTAATTCACAGGTCACCTGGGGTCATCCAAGAGTCATTTGGGGTCATTCAGGTGTCACTTGGAGTCATTTGGTGTGATCCAGGAGTCATTTGGTGTCACCTGGGGTCATCCAGGCATCATCTGGGGTCACCCATGTGAGTTTGAGGGTGTCTCAGGTGAGGTGGGTGTGACTTTGGGGGGGGTTGAAGAAGGTGGGTGGAGTTAAGAAGGAAAGGGAAGGGCCTCGGCTGTCCCATGTGAGTGGGCGTGGCCTGTGAGCTCCTCCAGGTGAGAGGGTGTGGCCCTTGGGCCAATCCTTTGGGTCTCAGGGTGTTTCAGGTGAGGGGATTGTCCCGCTCTGCTCTGCACTGGGGTGGCCTCACCTGGGATATTGTGGCAGTTTTGGGCACCACACTATAGGAAAGATCATTAGAAAGCCATCAGAGAATGTCCAAAGGAGGGCAGTGAAGATGGTGAAGGGCCTTGAGGGGAAGCCGTGTGAGGAGCAGCTGAGGGCACTTGGTGTGTTCAGCTGGAGAGGAGGAGACTGAGGGGAGACCTCAGTGCAGGTACAACTTCCCTGTGAGGGGCAGAGGAGGGGCAGGCACTGATCTCTGCTCTGTGGTGACCAGGGACAGCACCCCAGGGAATGGCCTGAAGAGGGCAGGTTTAGGTTGGATATTAGGAAAAGG